GAAAATTACTTGCCTCTGTTAAATTATATTGATTATAATTTTAACAAATTCAATAGTAGCTTAAATAATCAACAGAAAATAAACTTCACCAATGTGAAAACATTCAATAACTGTAGCAATAAATATGCTATATATGAAATGAGTGATGCACACAATCTTTTGTTCAAAACATGCTATAGTAGTAGATTTCCTAAAAGCTTGGAAAGTATAAATGCATTTTAAAATTGCCTTTATCATCATGTTGCCATTTATTTATTTTGTCATACTTCTAATAAGCTATGGAATGCTTTAAGAAGGTAGCTCATTTTTATACTTCCTCAAAACCAAATTTTACTGTGTGTGTTTTTCTTTTACCCAGATTGGTCTTTAATGATACAATCATCAATAAACTTAATGAGTTTACATTCTATAAATCATTAATTAATTTAATTTAGATTATTTTTCCCAAGAGGCCCTGGAGTCTGATATGTTGGTTAAGACTGAGAAAAACAAAGTAACTTGAAACTTGGGGCAGTGGTTTGGGGGAAGCCTTTGACCCGAAACAAAATGGAAAGAGATAAATCCTTTGCTGTGGATTTAAGTAGCGTGGCGCCTAAGCAGTATGATAAATGTGCTGACATTTACAGAGACTCTAGTTAGAGCCAAGATATCTTAATGCACTCCCTGGCATTTCAGAACATATGTACTCTATATGAAGGACTCCTCAATTTATGGTGAAATGCAGCAGACCATGTGAGCCATGGCCCTTTCTTACAGCATCTGGAGAGATGTACACTTTTGTTCTGATCATTTCTCGCTACATCTTTCCCCCCACTTCCCTTACGTGCACTCTTCTCACTCAGGCCTTCTGGTTTCTATTTGCAATAGAACAAGAAAGATGTTTAGACCCAGTTTTATTCTCATAATGAGGATTCATAAACAAAAGTAACTGGCGTCCTTCCTACCCTACCACTGAATATATTCATTTACTCTGAGGTTTATTTTCAGAGAAAATAGGCTGAGAACATGGACAGGATAGGTATATTAATTTCTTCTGAATGTTGAACTTTATAACATTTATTACACAGAAATTTTCACTTATGGAAATATTGCTTAAAGAGTAAAAAGTGAGGGTTGGTGACATGACCCAGTGGGTTAAGACACTTGCTGCCAAGCCTGGGGAACGAAGTTTGACTCTTGGAAGCCACATGGTCAAAGTAGAGAACTGACTCCTGACAATTGTTCTCTGACCTCCACTAGCACACCATGACATGTCCATCCCCCCTACCAATTAAAAACATAAAAGATACTGAAATTTTTAAAGAGGAAAACTTTTGAGTAGCGTTATTGACCTTTGAAGGTCATTAGGATCCCTAGCTGTTTCAGTTAAAGGATTTTAAGATAAACGACTGGAAGATTCAAAGGCTGTGTTTGATTTTCATCTGGTTAAGAAATACATTGTAATTACCATGATGTATTAGATATTCATAGAACATTTTCTGTGTGCAAAATACTGTTCATGGAATAAAGCCAATTATTTTAATGGTAGGTGTATCAGAATAGTTTTGAGGATTTTGTTTTTAAAACTACTAAGCCAATTGGAAGCAAGTTAAGTCTTCTTAAGATCTGTAATCTGTTGAAGTCATGTGGATTGAACACTGATCTTAGGTCCAGATGGTCCGTTTTAATTCCACGTGAATATGCTAGCTTAGGAAAGTTCCATTCCAGAGTTTACTCTTACTATGTCTGAATTTATTTTCAAATACTTACCAAGTTGTAACTTTATGTATCTTTTGAATTAAGTAAAATCTGAATCCTTATCTGTGAAAGAGATATAATTAATAAGTTCATCCTATTAGTAAACAAATCACATCTGTAAATCATAATTCTGTTGCATTTGATTTTAAAATTACTTTAGTTATATTTTATACAATATATTAAATGACTCTATATGTCCATGTTCACTGAAAGTATTTCTATTTTATGATATTTACTTTGATAATATAATCTGAACCTAGTTTTTTTTACCATGGGCACAATGTCTGAAAAGTCAAGCTTAAAGGATGCACACTTGTTTCAGAGTGTTTTTTAAATGAACAGTTTTCAATATTTCATTATATCTACTACTTCAGGTCTTTAGCATTTAAAATTCAATCTTTATTATCATAGACATGGGAGACACTAATTTTTTGTATGTATATATATATATAATCAATTAATTTTTAATTAAGAATTTCATATATTTGATAATATTATTTCCCCTCCCCTCGCTCCTTCTAGATTCCCCCTACCTTACTACCCACCCAACTTTATGTTCTTTTTCTTTTTCTTTTTTTGGTTTTTCGAGACAGGGTTTCTCTGTGTAGCTTTGTGCCTTTCCTGGATCTCGCTCTGTAGCCCAGGCTGGCCTTGAACTCACAAAGATCTGCCTGGCTCTGCCTCCTGAGTGCTGGGATTAAAGGCATGAGCCACCACTGCCCGGCCTTTATGTTCTTTCACACATAAAAAATGAAAATCAAAACAAACAAAACCAAATAAAACAAAAAATTACCAAAGCAAAATAAAAATTACACAAGCTAACATGGAATCTGTGTTGTATAACTACTTTTGGCTTTGGGGCTTGCTCTGGAGTGTGGTTGGGATAAACAGTGACACTCTATCAAAGAAACAGATTTTCCTTTTCCAACTATGTATCAGTTACAAATAGTTTCTTGGTTAGGGGTGGGATTTTGTGGCTAATTTCCCTTTTATTGTTGAGTTTTTGTCTAGTTTGAACCTGTGGAGGTCTTTGGTGTTCTGTCAGTCCGTGTGGGTTCATGTGTGTATCAATCCCCTGGTACTCTTTCCTTGGAGTCATCCACCACCTTTACCTTAAAAAACAAACAAACAACAACAACAACAACAACAAAAAACAAAAACCAGAACATTCAGAAATATTGTAAATCAATTGATGTGTGGGTCCTCTGATTTTATTTTCTTTTCTCCAATATTTCTACCTGTCTTGTTCAAACTTAAAAGAGATGGAAATTGTTTGAATTGTTTAGTACTAAAGTTTTTCAACATTTTTTTCAAAGAAGTAGCTTTTTGTCATTTTTAAATGTTAATGCAGAAACTAGTTAAGGGTTATGATTCAAATAGCAGCTATAAATGAAACAAGATATTGGGGAAAAATAATTGTCGGATGGCACCATCCAAGGGTAGTGGGTGTCAGCAAAGCAGAATTTCTACAGGGAGGGTGGGGGGTGAGCACAGAGCTTCAACTGCTGCATTTAGAGACATCAGTGAATTAAAGACATATGTAGAATAAAATAAAAATGTCATTAATTGTTTCTGTGATAGATGTCATATATTATAAATGGTTATTGTTGTATCTGTTACATTGATTCTGTGAAGTAGTTAAGTTTAAAATACCTATCATACTTGAATCTCAAAACAACTGGATACTTTTGAGAACTCTGACTTACTAAACAATCAGGAATAGTTGTTTGAATGATATTCCCAGGGTGAGAACAAAATTCTTAAGTACAGAATCTACTTAGGGGCAATGTTTCTAAAAACAGAAAATTTCTCAATAATCCCTAAGTACTTGAAAAACTAATTAGACTTATTGGTACAAATATAAACTGTGTTTCTTACTATTATAATCTTATATTGACATCATTATACAATTGTATCCAAAGGTATTTATTAAATTAGGAGAGATTGATTGCAATGTCCATCTAACCCAATTTTCAAAACAATAAATGTCCATTTTAGAGATTTACAATTGGATAGGAAAGGGCAAAGTCAACAATTAGAGGAATACTTATAACCCTACTATTTAGTTATAATTATCTCAATTCAATTTTCTTTTATGTGTTCACATAGGTATCTCTGTATATGTATATTTATGTGTACTATGTCTTAATAGGACAGTCTTGTTAAGTTGTGAACTTTTTGGTGATGTACAAGAACTCATTCTAGGATGGTATATCGTTTCAAATCTCAGGCTTTGGATCCTGTCCTTCTGTGAGATCTTGACAAGTCCAGCATCTCCTAAGTCCTCACCTACCAATCTGGGGAGTGCTAGAATAACAGTAGCGCTCTCTTATTAATGTATGGAGATGATGCATGAGACACATCAAATCTGTCTTATTTTGTGTGTGGGGGGGCTTCAAGACAGTGTAGGCCGGCTCCTCTGGAACTAGGTCTGTAGACCAGGCTGCCCCCAAACTCAGAGATCTGCCTGCCTCTACCTCCCAAGTGCTGGGTTAAATTTGTTTTAATGGCAGCTTGTTGTGTTGTAAACTGTTACATACCTTATTTGAACAAATAAGCTGTTTCCTACAGACTTCTCAGAGGAAATATATACATGCTCATGTGTTTTAAAATGTCTGTGGTACTTCAACTGTTATTCAAGCTCTTTATATAAAGCAATTAAACCATGAATGGAGAACTTCCCAGTAAAGAATGAAGGTGAAAACCTACTACACTTACACTACGTATCTGTCTGCTCAAGGGGCCATTCTTCTTTGTGATATCTGCTTCTTTAGATATTCTGTGTTGCCTATTGACACAAAAGAGATCACAACTCTCATATTTGTAATGTGTTATTCCAGAGTGTGATCAAGGTTTTGAACTGGTTACTAGATTTGTGGACAGAAAATGTAACAGATTAATGAAGCATGAAACAGTGTTAAAATTGTCATTCCTGGTCTAACACTGCTGTTAATATTTTACTGACTCTCATGTTTTTCCTGTTCATGCTTACTGAATCCCTTAAACCTCATCATTCACAGAAATTAATTAACTGAGTCACTTTTTGTAAGCATGCCATTTCTGGGAATTAATGTTTCTATAATAATATCTATGTCATTTGTTGCATTGACTAATACTACGGGACGAGGTTGAATCACACGATTTAGTTAATTTTTAAATATCTCAATCACCTATTATAGATGTGGGAACTTGAAGCTTCTCAAAGGTCAAATGGTGAAATTCCCATGGTAGATTACAGGTTGAGTTTGTAAGTATCACACAATGTTTCTCAATTTCTTCCTTCTCTAAAAGGTTTTCATTGAGTATGTAATTCACCGTCACATGACCTTGATTGCCTTCTATATCTTTCTCTTTCTGTCTCTGTACCTGTATGAATGTCTTCAATGTTGTAGGCTCATCACTCTCTCAGGTTTTCTTTTCTCATGCATTATTTAAAATAAGAAAGACCAAATGAAACACCATCATAGAATACTGAAACTTTCATTATGTCAGTCATATTGTCTTTCATCAAAGGATCAAACAGTGAAGTATGCCCATTGTCTAAATATAGTTTAGGATTTTAGTGTTCTCCTGGAAATATATAGAAGACTAATTTTGAATTACTATAATCAAACAGTCAAAACCATCTGAAACAATACTGAGCAGACAAGATATCCCAGGAAAAAGAGTCTTGATTCCAATCATGCCTTTTTCTTTCCAGAATGTCCAGAAAATCTGGCAGGTTTTCTTCTAATTTATATACAGATAGATATATTTTTATATTTCTTTGTATTCTGAATATGCTTCATCACCCATAAGAATATTATAAATATTTGTTCAATATGGAAATGAGAAAATAAATTACTAATTCAACCTTTTACTTGAATGAGGAATCATTTGGAAATCCTGATAGATGGGTACTTAATATATTTAAACATAGAGCCAGGAATCTTCCAATTACATACTTCACATATTGTCCCTTAGGGCACTGAGTCTTACTTCCTTTATAACTGGAGATTGGAGAAGGAAGGTAATTGCATTTTGAGTTAATTTTATCATGTCATTTATCTCAAGACTGTTGAGAAAATTAAATTACTTAAGGGCTGACAAGAGGGTTCTAAAGGTACTTTGCACCAAGGTTGTTGACCTGTATTTGATCCCTTCTAGTCATGTGTTAGAAGGAAGAAACCAACTTCTAAATGCTGTCCTCTTCCAAATGTATGCCATGGTAATTTTGCACTTCCTTCTCCCCATAAACACATTCTATCTTTTTTGTTTGTTTGTTTGTTTGTTTTTCGAGACAGGGTTTCTCTGGGTAGTTTTGGTGCCTGTCCTGGATCTCGCTCTGTAGACCAGGTTGACCTCAAACTCACAGAGATCTGCCTGCCTCTGCCTCCATTGTGCTGGTATTAAAGGTGTGTACCACCACCACCACCACCACCACCACCACCACCCTTATTTCCCTTATCAGCCCCTCCAGTCAACTGCCTCCGCAATGAGGCATCTAGTTCTTTATTAACTCAGACATGTCCATAGCATATCTAACTCCTCAGACTATCCTGGGTCATGTACCCACCTCCCACTATTCTAACTCCCAGGCTGTTCCAGCTCACAGGATCCTTCCCACCACAATCTATGTCTTTAAAATTGGCAGGTTCTCCCCACTTTTTTTTGCTATTCTCTCTGCTCACCCCTCCCCCCAGAAATAGCCTTGACAGTTTGAATAAACCTTTCTTTCTACCCACAGGAAAAAAAAAAAACACAGACCCCACAGACAAACAAATCAATAAATGTAATAGCATTTCAAGTTGCTTAACATGCAGAAGATATCCTGGTTAATTTTGGGTGCATGTTTTCCGCTCAGTATCTTACAGTTCAATGGTAAATTGATTGTTTCCTTTCAGTCGTTTGGTTACTTAGAAATGAAGTGTTTTTTTTTTTAAACAAATATATTTGAACCATATGCTTGCATAAGTTATTTCTGGATTTTTATTTGATTTTGTGGTTAAATAGAAGCAGTAGGTATCTTTAACATTAAAATTCACAAGTGTCTGAATTCCTCATGTTCAAGCCACCTGGGCTTGTGTTCCAGGAGACCATTCAGTGAGGTCACTCTCAGATCCATACATTCTTCCCTACTTGGTCTTTTGTCTCTCTAGGTTATGATATTTTTATTTTTGCAGAAGAGACTCATGGACAGTAAAACATCATAGTCTATATTTCTTCTAAAATTTTGTTTTCATACTTAAATAAAAAAGGTTGCACCTAGAATTTAAAATTCATTGTACTTTCTTAGATTTGCAATCTTTTCAAAGTACAGCAGTATGAGGAAGAATATGATGTCTAAAATCCTCCTTTCTGAAGTTTAGCTTTTAGAATACAAGGAGGTTCTCTCCAAGCTGTCAAGGGACCAATAATCCTACCCAGCTGTGACAACTATGAACCTCAATAATGACAAGCAGGTTACTTCTTGACTTCTCTAATTTAGCAGATTTTTATATTGGATTTCCAAGTCTTTGTTGGTAAATAGCACGATAGAGAATTGTTTTAAACCTCTATATTGCAGCCATGGCAGAAGGGCCACTGAAGGCCCTGCAGGCCATGGCCTGAGTGGCCAGTGGGGTGCTGACTGAGGGACTATGGGGCCACAGTTGATAATTAAAATATCAGTAGATTCCTGTGCAGCTGCTAAGATGACAGAAAAACATTAGAATATTTATCTTTTTCTTTCAGATTATTAATCTATGATTAATAGTTTTTACTCTAATTCATGTGATAATTCTGACAATAACATTTTAATTTCTAAGGAATTTTCTTTTTTTCCTTAACTGCTTATTTTAAGTGGCAGCCTGATTTAGTTTAGGAATGCAATACCCCTTGGCTCTTTCTGAGATTACATGAATTAAAAATAAATTTGTATTTTTGGATTTTTTTCTCTCTCTGAGTTGCCTGATTTCTCTAAGATTTTATGGTTGTTCAGTCTCACAACCTTCTCATATTTGTGAATTAACAACTAATTTATACTTTTGCCTACAGGGTTTGCCATGGAATTTGTATGCCCAGTTTAAAGAGTTCCTCCACTGTGAGCCAGCTCAGGGATCAGGCAGGCTTCTCTTCAGATTAGCAGTCAGCAAGCCAAACAGGCAGTGAGCACAATGTGGCTCTGTTGTGAGTGTGGAGTGCTTGGAATGGTTTGTTTCCAGAAATATCTAACTCTCTGAGGAGATCCTGAGCTACTCTTCATGATTCTGCCTCTCCTTTCCACTGATGCTCCAGCTACTGTGGGACCCCTAAGAGGAATTTATGCTCAGAATACAGGGAAGAGCAGCAGCTGGGACTCAGGTAAGTGAGCTTCTGTGTACACAGCAAGCGGGAGTGGGGACTGGGTGTCTTGATAGCCTCCTACATGGACCTTTAAGTCATCTGAACTCTCCCAAGCTCTCTAATGCTAGGAAGTCCAGACTTAGTGCTGTTTATTTTGTTTTTTCCTTTCCATCACTGACAGCATCTTGACTTCTGAGACCTTCACCACTTGACAAACTCAGGTGTGACTCAGTTAATCCAAGTCTGACTTCTCTCAACCCCTACATTGTTCTTATCTTTTAAATTTATATTTACAGTATTGCCTGTTTTTTCCCCACCAATATCAGCAATATCATGGGTTTACTTAACTTTAGGTAAGCTATCTTTGTTCTCTTTCAAAAAAGTATGTTGGAAATAGGCTGTTTAATATAAAACAAAGGACATAAAATTATTTTCTCTTTTTTTCTTAATATAAAAAAGAAAATTTGATAGATGTGTTACATAATGCAATTCATGGATGTGGGTAACTATGTACCAGGTTTTATCCCTTTCTTCTCTTATTTTACTTTTTAACAGAGGTAATATTAAAGAATTAGTCAATGATAGTTGTTTCCAGATTCAGTGAAACCAATCACATTCAAGGAAATCAACTTAGGAATGAATACCGTACAGGGGCCAGTAAACCTGGGCAATTCCTATACCACAAGACCTTTATGGGCATTAATCCAGCCACAGAAAAGAATGGCTAAAAGAAACCAGCCTTTGGTAGAGAGATAGAGTCATCAACCCCGAGAAGGGACCCAGGGAGATGTATACTTTATCTCATTCTTTTCCCTTCTCACAATCTATGGGAATTCCCATTATCTGAACCCTACTGATGTTACATGATGAAAGAGCCCCTTCTTTTATATTCATGAGGAACTTGAAAGGGAAATCCCAGGGTTTTCCGAAAAGGTGTTGAAGAGAAGGAAAATAGAAAGTAGAAAATGAATAATTAACATAACACTTTCTGCTTCAGCTCCCTTTTCTGATATGAGTCATCATGCCTAATTTGAGTAATAGCTACTTTCCCCATTACCTGGGCCATTTTATTTTACCTCTGCCAGCACCTCAGATGAGTGTTGTTCTGTAGGTGCTGAACTGATTCTAAATGGTCTACAGCCATTGTCCCCTTTTCATTGTGTTGTTAGCATGTCTATTGCCCAGGAGTCTTGGTAAGAATGTATCAAGAAGCATGTCAGGAAATCTCTTGGGTTCCACTCATAGATCTACTTGTTCCAGTGGGGTAGCAGGAACTCATTGTCACTGTGCCTTGAGTCATATGAAGAATGCCCCACCTTTAATAAAATAGCATATCACTGTGTGTTCTGATGGAAGTGTTGCTTCTTTTGGGACTATGCCCTCAAAGTGTGGTTGTTAGGAGTAAAAATTCTTGTGAATTATTTTGGGAGTTGTAAGAAGACTTAATCTTGTGATCATATTGTAGCACCTTGTCTGATATCTTCTGATTACATGAGTAATAAATTCATATATTGAGGGTTACTTTGTTACTTAACACACTCTATGGGATACAATATTCTAACCTAGAAGATTACTTCTTCCACTTGATTAGTTCACTGAAGCTTTAGACCTTGATATTGTTCTATCAAGCTCATCGAGCTCTTGCCTTATGGGATCATGATGCGATCAATAAAATTTCTGTTTGTCATCCAATTGTTCTACATTCTCTATTGAAAATGTGTCCCATTTAGGGAGGTGAGATTTGAGTTCCAATGCTGATGGAGGAAGTAAACAAACGAGATCTTTTCTGAGGCAGAACATAGCAAGAAAAATGAGGATCAGGTCGATAAGGACCAATTGAAACTAATTGGGCACACAATAAAGTTTTACTGGCTGGCGGTTTAGAAAGACACTGAATTAAATTATTTTCTTGATAATTGTCACTATTAAAAGAACAATTTGGGCTATTATTAAAAAATCAAATGTGAACAGGGAGATAAATAGTGTAAGTTAACTGAAATGCCATAGGAGCAACTGTCTTAGTTACTTTTATATTGTTGTATCCAAGGAAACTCATAAAAGAAAGAACTTATTTGAGGGGTTGCTGACAGTTTCGGAGGGTGAGTCCATGACTGTCAGAGCAGAGAACAACAGCAAGCAGTCAGACAGCTGGGACAGTAGCCAAAAGGTGACATAACGAGGCAACAACCACGAAGCAGAAAGGGAGAGCTGAATGGTGTGCGGTTTTGAAACCTCAATGTCCACTCTCAATGACACACCTCTTCCCACAAAGCCACACCCCCTAATCCTTGCCAAACTATTGCATGAACTGGGGCAAAGCATTTAAAATATATGAGGCTATGGGGACCGTTCTTATCAAACCACCACAGTAATTAATGACTAATACAATAATAATATTGATTTGGGCATAAAAGTGCTTGGATTAAGTTGCACATTCAAAGAATGTAGACAAGAAGTTTTCATATATTAATCAAATAAATCTGACATTCAGTCATCTGAATACCTACCTCATGACATGTACTGTACAAAACGCCAACTGTAGAGGAATGAAAAGTGAAGGTACCAACGGTCTTGCTCACTGAACACACACACAAATTAGTGGTTTTTACTAGGCACCAAGGAAGAAGAAAAATGGCTCAATGTTCCAAAGTGGGGAGGGGAAAGAAAGAGAGCTAGGGGAATTTCACAAAATATTTTACTCTCAGTGTGAACCAAACACACAACAGAATATAAAAGAAGGTATTATCTACAAATGCAATAGAATAAGAAAGAAAGAAGGAGAACTCAAAAGAAGTGTAACAATGGGAAGGATGAAAATTTTAAGGTGATAGTTCAGTATGGCTGTCAGGGAGCATGTAAGGACAGAGAGGCTGTCAGGCTAGTGAAGACACAAGAGACGAGAAGCCAGTGAAATTCACTTCTGTTGTTCGTTCCACTGCTATGTACAAATGACTGGCGTATGGAGGTTCTTGGAATGTGGACCTTTGAGAATTTGATAAACCATGGATGATTTCTCTCCTTTCTTAGCATCACCTGTCAACTTGGTACAGGCTAGGGTTGTCTGAGCAGAAAGTCTTGATAAAAAGGATTGTCTAGATGAAACTGTCCTGCAGACATGTCTGTGTATGTTGTCTTGATTGTTAACTAATGTGACAAGTTCTCAATGGGGAGCACCATTCTCTGGGAAGATGGTCCTGGGCTATATAAAAAAAGCTACTTGAGTGTGAGATCAGGTGAATCAGCAAGCAGTATTTATCCATTGTTTCTACTTCAAGTTCTTGCTTGAGTTCTTGCCATAATTTCCCTAAATGAAGGACTATATATCCTGTGAGTTGTAAGGCACATAAAAAATGCCATGTGCTCTAAGTTGCTTTGGGTCAGAGCATTTTATCACAGTAACAGAATTATAACTAGAAATTATCGCGTGTTGTAATAACAAAAGTTTTGATTATGAGATAGCCATTATGACCGGGCTATGGTGGCACACGCCTTTAATCCCAGCACTCAGGAGGCAGAGCCAGGAGGATCTCTGTGAGTTCGAGGCCAGCCTGGTCTCCAAAGGGAGTTCCAGGAAAGGCACAAAGCTACACAGAGAAACCCTGTCTCGGGGAAAAAAAAAAAAAAAAGAGAGATAGCCATTATGTATATAGTCAGTCACTTATCATTAAAAACGGTATCACCTGGGCCACTCTAACAATTATATATGTATATGTGATATATATATATCATCCAGTTTCCTAAAAGCTTAAATGTATTTTCATGATGCTTTCTGAATCATGCACACAATCACACACATGCATATGTATATAGGTATTTGATTATATTACATGGCAAAGAGAAATACAATTTATGTAAAGTACTTTATTAGGTTATGAAGAATTCCACTAATTTTTTTCAAGACTTCCTTACTTCTGACTTCATTCTATCTCAAATCCTTAGGCTCAGTAAGCACAAAACTAAAGTATGTCATTTTTGGAAGGACATGTGAAAAGTGTCCATCATTTTTCATATTTTTATTGGACAAGAGAGTGAGCAGAGTCCCCAGGGCCCAATTCTGAGACATTGGCCACAATTCCATTCCTAAAGTGAGCTTGAGAACAAACAGTTCAAGTACATACATGACATAGTCCTACTATTTTTTTTTTTTGGCAAGGTTGCAGAAATGTTTCCAGAAACTGCTGTATTTTTCTGTTTTTATTTTTTTCTAATACTGCTTGTAACAGAATATGCTTACTTTTTTTCTCTGATTTAATTTCTTTTGCATAAAAATGCATTTTGTACAGAGACAGAACAGTATTGACATATAAAAAGAAAAATAAATATAAATACCACTCTGATCTGAGAGCTGTGAATCAAGTTTTCTTATTTGTTTACACTCTACGACCTGAACTAAGAACTAAAAACATTGTAGCATACATCACTTGTGTGCATATTCATGCACTCATAAGTGTGTTCATATGCACTAGCAGATTCCATGCATTGTTAATCAGCTTTACTTTTCAAGTATGAGTAAATGCAAGACGAAACTAGCAGCGAGAACATGACATGCATCAGGGATAATTGTCAAAAACAGACAACATTATTCATTGATTTTCCCTTTTGAATTTGGACATTTATGTAACAGCTTACTTTCTCAACCTTTTCCCCAGGGAATGCTGATTGCACTGTCTAAAGAAGTCTGAGAGGAAGTGTAGATGACATTTGATTCTTTTAATGGAGTTTCAATAATAATTTCTCTTCATGCCCAATTATGCAAGGCACAAAGAATTGTTCTAGAACTCTTTCTAGAACAAAGTGATATATTAATTTTGAAAGGAAGGGGGGAAAGTAGAAATAACATTTCAGAAGAAAATATCTGATTGTAGTTACTTCTTAGGAAAAAGGGCTTATATAAATAAAGTATCTCTGCATAATGTATAACAAATAATATTTAGGATATCAGAGTATGAACTTCCTCTATATACAATTTCATGTAACAATACCTTATTATTCTGGCATTATATAAAATTACAAGCTCC